TTTCATCTGTTTACTAATGTAAGGAAAATGTTATTAAGTCTTACTTATCTAATTTTAGTCGGATAATTAACATTAAGTTCGCTTTACGTTACTAAAGTTCATTTTATTCCAAATGCAAGCAATTTAAAGCGAATGAAACGAACTGTCGGCTGAATTAATTATGTTCATCTGCATGTCAGAAGAAGATAATTTAAACCATCATCCTATCTTTCTAAATGCCAGTTATAAATGTATCATGCTTTAAATGATATTTTTTAATGCTAAAATTTATATTTAACATCATATATATATATATATACATATATAATGATATATAATATGAATATAGATGAATAAATTAAAAATCAAATTCAGTCGCAATAAGAAGTACGATAATTTCTTACCTAAGCTAATGCAAATGTAATGTATGCATTTCCTAATTCTTCTATTTTTTCGACTATCTGAACTACAGTTCACCTTAATAATAGTTACCTTACGCCAATCCTGATTCTCTTACATCAATTAGCGTTCGTTATATCCATTCCCTTACCCGTTTCTATTCCTGAAGTTCTGTGAAACTTCTGCTTCAATTTCCACAGTGCGCAATTTACCATTAAATAATTTATCTACGAAACTTTAGAATTCTTTTCGCATCATGTTACATCTTACCATAAGTAAATAAACAATTATATATTACACACACACACACACGCACAACACTGAAATTTAATATGTATGTAATCATTTTTTATTGAATGACAAAAGTTTTATTACAAGATATAATAATTGATGTTCTTTACGTTGAAGCTAAATGTTTACATTATAAATTTAAATTTTGATTGTTTATAAAAGATGAATTGAATAAATTATAGCATTAAAACTTCTTAAAAAAATAGATAAATACATTTCATAATTATACATAGGACTCAGAAAAGAATATATAATGCAATAATAAATAATAAATATTATTATTATATATATTTATTTCTCAGTTTATATATATATATATATATATATATATATATATATATATTTCACATACTCTAAAAAACATGATAATCTTATTATAATACTATTTATGTTATTTACTGACAATTTTTTATAAGATAATCTTTGTAAAAATTTTAAAACACATACACATTAATTATTATGTACATTATAAATTATTAGTAGTTTTATATATTATTAAAAATTAAATAATAAAGTAGTTAATATTACAAAATAGGGCGTTGTACAAAATATAATTTAATTTTAATAAAATTATTATAAATCAAATATAGTGTTCTAATATTGATTGATTTAGTCGCTATTAATTTGATTATTTTCCTTTTGGATTGTTATATGAAATGACTAAAAAATTTACACATAAAAAAGAGATGCTTTAATAATAATAAATTAATAACTCATTCCCCCTCTCTTTCTCTATTAAAAAATTAAAATTATTTCAAGAACATTTCATACAAAATACTTGTTATTAAAAAATTTTACTATTTGAATAAGGAATTCTAAAGTATCTTTTAAATTTCTTTCTGAGCTACTACTCTATATACTTCCTTACTGGGAAAATACGATTGTTTCAATCATTGTCACTTTTTATGGTGTCTTTTTATAATATCTTTTTATAGTATTTACATCTAAAGCTTATCAAATTTTTATTGAATTTACTTCGTATGTTGCGCAAAATTAACTTTGTACATTGCATAAAAGAGAATTAAATTCCTCATATCATAAAAAATATTTGTGCATAAAATGCCTTTATGTTTAATTTTCGAGAAATAAAATTAGACTAATGTATAGAATTTCTATGTATGAACTTGTTTCTTGAGCTAAGAATCATGTAACTTGTGGATTTAAAAAGAAAGAAAATAAGATTTTTGTATATGCTACATTTCTTATATTTCTTTTGCGTACAATATTGCATGTAAACTAAATATAATAATATATTTTGACATAATAATAAAACAAAATGCGAATTTTTGATAGATGTTCTTTTTAATTTAATTCAAAAATATTGTTTAACAAAAATAGGAATAAATATAATATTTTTTAAAATTAAATTTTCAGTTTTTTAATATATGATGTGTGTATGTATGCAAACTTATAAATATTTTTATATAATATTAAATAGTATAATTTGTATGTAATATTAATTAGTAATAAGATATACTATTCGTAAACAATGCTTCCTTAAATTACAAATAATAATATTAATAATATTTATTAATAATATTATATTATTAATATTATTTATTAATAATATTATATGTATATATTATCATGAAAAATATATTATAAATATATATTATCATCAAAAATATAATATATGTATAATGCATAATTTATATACTATATATACATATACATGTATATAATTATAATTTTTATTAAAAAGAGCATTATTTTTAAGTTTATTTTATGTTAAATAAAAAATCACTGTAGCATATTTTTAATAGTATAGAAAAAAAGAAATTATCTTTTACACTTGTAATTTTTACTTTTACGATAAGTGGGTACTATTATTGCACTGATAAAGCATTTTTATTAATGAGAATTTTCCTAGGATGTTAATTAATTCAATTGCGCTGGGAATAAACGCTATCCATCGCATAGGGCGCACCACAGACATTGATTAATAATGTTAAGTACTGTTGTCTAGATACGTATCAGCATCCAGAGATGTGCGTTTGTAACTTAACTACATGACACATGCAATTCTCAAAAGTCTCATAATTCAGACTTACACACATATGTATATTCATAATTAAACTACACTAACTAAAAAGTTTTCTAGAATTAGTGATATGTATATGTAAAATACATTCAATAATTTTTATGATTGAAATATATAACATTTGCATTAAAATAGACATCAAAAATATCTAGAAAAGATTCAATTTGCATATATGTGTTATAATTTGATATGCAATATAATTTTTAAATTTAATGTGAATAATTTTTTAAATTTTTAATACTTTTATCTTAATATTGGAATAAATTATCAGATATCAATAATGTATATCTATCTATCTATACATATATATGTATATATATGTATATAAAAAACAAAATATCACATATCAATAATGTATATCTATCTATTTATATATATGTTTATGTATATAAACTATAATCTATTTATACATATGTTTATGTATATGTATATAAAAAATAAAATATCATAATGTGTAAATAATATTATTATAAACGGTTATTAAATATTATTAAATATTAAGTATTATACCCAATTAAGTGGATTATATGCTATGGCCAATAATTGAAGAAAACATAAAAAAACGAATCAGATATTCAATATTATTAAAGAGAGAAACATATCAATAATATCAAACAGATTTAATGTCCATAATATTGTTTAATTAAGATTTCTCAAAAATAGCTCGATAACTTGGTTTAGAAACTGTGTAACTTTAGAAAATTTATAACGATGTGCATAAACATATTTCCGAAAGATTTTAGGATTTAGTCTTATGATATGTGAAAACAATATCATAAAAAGTAAAATATAGAGAAACCAATATACATTAATCGAAACGATAAGAATTGATAACACTCTAGTTAAAGATTACAAATATATAAAAAAAGAATATTAAATATTTGTTGCTATGCAAGAAAATAAAGAATAATATATTGTAAAATATAGTTATGAGAAATAATTTAAATATGTAAGAAATAGAATATATGAATAGAAGCAAAGTAAAATAATGTGCTTAATGTCATTAAACTTTTTAATGTCTGATAAATATTACATATTGTTTCTACACTTTATTTATTTCTATCTTATTTATTTCTAATATAGAGAAAAGCTTATAAAATAAATATTATTTTTGATATAATTATGAGACATTTTTATTTCGAAGTGTTTTATATTCTACAATTTTATTATTTGTGTATGTGCGCAATATATAAATTAAATATTCAAAATTATAATAAATATTCAAATAATCAATTAAAAAAAATATTATTATACTGGTTTTATGTTTGCCATATAATATTAAGTACATATGTACATATGACATATAATTAAGATACATTAATGAAATAAATTGTGTGTTACATATATATTATCTTTGAAAAAATACATATAATGAATATTAATAAAAATGGAACAATGTAAAGTAAAGAAGAAGTTTTTTGCTGGAACATGTTATTATGCATTTATGTAATACTTTATTTGCTTTCCAACAAATATGTAAAATAATGCGATCTAATACAATTGACTATCTCTACCAGAAATAGTACTGGATATTCATTGAATATAAACGACGCCAAAATCAAATCGCGATATTCCAATCGCGATTTGAGCATTTCCTTCATGGTTAAGCGATTTCAACGCACTAGTAGCATTTCCACCTCATGTCACTATTAAAAAGAATCTATGGAAGCAAGTGTTCATGTATCTCTATTTTCTCGACGTATTTCGGAATCAAGCGTATAGCTGCGCATGTCGACGGAAAAACGATTGTTTTATTTTAGACAAAAGAAATCGATGAAGAAAAGAAAAATTAAGTCTCATTGTCGTAATGTGAGGAAATAAGTTCCATAAATTTTGAACGCATAAGGACGAATAATTTAACTACAATAAATATACAACTACATGTGTGTATATATTTTTATACATGTAAATTATTAATTGCATTTCACAAAAAATGGAATCAAATAATATTGTACAAAATAAAACATAATCGTAAAAAATTGTGTTCAATTTTGACTAATGTAAATATCATCAAATCATTTTCATGTAACCATTAATTGAATAATTTTTTTGCGATAATCTCTAAAGTAAATATTTTTCAATATAATTACAAAGATAACTTCAAATAGAATCTGAAATAAAATTATTTATTTGGAAATAAAGGAATTAAAATGAATAAATAGTCTCCATAAATTAAGACCTGCCATATGAAATTGTATTGATATTCTTAAATGACTACTGTCAGAAATAATATGATAGATATACCAGAGTAGATATACCATATATGTAAAATTTCCTGATAAAAACTTACCTGTCAAATGAAATTACAACGAGAGTAAAAATGCTAGAAGCGACAGTCACATGTGCTACAAAGTTGTTGATAGTGCAATATACTACTCCGAAGGGCCAATTAGAGTTGAGGAGGAAGATAAAGTTGAAGGCGCAGTTGAGTAATGACATCATAAGATCTGCCACGGAGAGATTCACCAAGAAGTAATTAGTGACGGTACGCATTCGCCGATGAGCTGTAAGAAATAAAAAAAGGAAATCTATAAAGAAAACTTTTATAATACATATATTTGAATGTATGAAAACACTTTAATACTTTTCTGCTTTTAACTTTGACTTTTATTTTTATCTCTGCAAATTACAAACATTCCAGAAGTATTATCATGATTTCTGCGCTATTTAATAGGCTACATTTAAGTTTCCGCACACATAGCTTGCCTTCCGTTGATATTAAAATTCTGAATACCTGTGGTCGCAATAAATACATTCGCTTAAATATCTTTAAAAATAATGTATCTGTACTTGATATCTTTGTTATTTTGCTAGTAGAATTTATAATGCTATGATAATATTTTATTGAAAGAATAGCAGACTAAGAATTGGAGCGAATTAAATTATTTTGCTTCAAAGAGCTAAAACTTTTCTCTGTACAAATATAAATGTTTCATATTTTGTTTAATTTAATGAGTTTATTATTCCAAACAATTATTTTTAATATAATTCTATTTCTAAATAATTTGTTCGTATAGAAAGATGTTTTTAAAACTTATTTTGCTTATAATCATATTATTATAATCTTGATTTATAATAAGCGCATATTAACAATTTTCTTTAAGATATAGAGTATCAAATATTACGTTATTATAATTTTTATATAAAATTTATAATGTATATATAATTACATTATTATACACGTAACAACGTATCATGTGCAAAATTTCTAATATCGTATATTGTTCGTTTAGAACCTGAGTAATCATCTACTTCTAAAGAAAATCGTACTAAAGAAAATCGTTATTACGCTTATCGCGTATGTATTTATATATTAATGTATGCAATACCTTGATACATAGATATTAGTAAATAACATATAAACGTATTTGTATTATTTATAGTATGCCTGTTATGAAGAAAAAATTAAAAAATAGATTAAGAAAATATATTTCATAAAGAAATACATACAATAATACAAATACAATACAATACAATACAATACAATATAATAATATAATGTATGATATGTAATAAAAAAATAAAATAAAATTACAGAATATTTCTACAATATTAGACAAATATATATTTATAGATATTTACACTTTTTATAAAAAAGTTTATTTATTAAAATTAAATTAATTGGAATTAATTATATAGACAAATGTTCTTAATTAACTGGATAAAGTCAAATCATTATTTTCTTTACATTGTTTAAATTTATTTTTTGTATTTGTGTGTATATAATAATATTATACATTCCTAATATATATATTTGTTAATGCATATTTAAAATATGTAAAAACATGTGTTCTTATCGAACTACAATTTTATAATGTGTTTCAACGTCAGGTTTTTTCTAAATAAAAAATAAATTTTTGCAAAAAATAATCTTCTAATCATTTAAAATTTTTTAAATAAATATTTTTTAATAAATATTTTTTAATAAATATTTTTTTAAATAAAAATAATAAGATTTTAAAAGTTTTATTGAATGGTCATATTCGTTTAATTTTGAGTGGAGGGGTAAAGGTCGTATGAAGTTCTATTTTATTTTTTTTTAATGGAACTCTCTATTTTTCATTGCATATTCTTGTAGCTTATCTCGAGAGCTTTACAAGATACTATAATAAAGTATCTTTTCATTAAATATTTTCTGAGTTATGAAACTTGAAATGATTTCTTAATTTTACATAAATTATCTTGTAAAATATTAATTTTTCGATTATCTTACATCCATACTTTTATACGCAAAATAAAAATAAGAAAAAAATTGATGCAAAGAAAACACATAATTGTCTCAAAAAAAAAATACGTAATTGTTAATTGCAAATTACATATTTATTCTTAAAAACAACTATGTATTTTTTTTATATCAATTGATTTCTCTCATTTTATATGTAAAAATATTGAGATAAGATCATAAAAAAATGAATATTTTATGAGATATTTTATAATTTATGTAAAATTAAAAAATTATTTAAGTCTCATAGCTCGAAAAATATTTAATGACAAAATACTTTTGGAGGATCCTATATATGTATATATATAATATATATCCCCTCCTATATATATACAAAAATAATCAAATAAAAAATACTTTGGAGGACTCCTTTTGGAAGACCCTGTATATATATATATATATATATATATATATATATATATTCAATTAAATTTAAATTTAAATACGGAAAACAAAAGATTTACAATTTTATTTTTTGTCTGCAATCAAAACTTCATAAATGCAAAACTATTTTTTATTAATAAAATCTATACTTTAAATACATAAAAAACACATAAAAAATAAAGCAACAAAATAATAAATTGTAAAGTTTAACTTTAATTATAATACTATTTGCAAAGTAAAAAATTGTACAATTATAAAAAAAGAACGGTTATTTTGAGATAAGATCAGAATAATAATAATAAAAAATAATATAATAATGTGTAACTTGTTATATAATAATTGTTTTTTATTAATAATAAAAATTTTCTTTGTATAACGTATTTTTCTATTTTAATAACAAGAATTTTATAAAAGTTGTAATTATCCCCGATAAATAGTATAAATCGACATTTATTATATTAGAAAGAAATCTTCTCTCTCATCACATTTACATATCAAGTCATATTTTCAAATACAATTTGTCTCTGTCACATATAAACTTGATTTACGATATTTGCTGATTTGCGATGTGGATAACAGCGAGCATAAACTGACTGACAATCTTGTCATATATATATAATAACTTCTATATCATTTATCACACTTGAACCGTTTATCACGCAATCTTTTTTCTTATTATAACTTAACACAACTTATTCATTATTATCTAAAAAATGATTATTATATAATAAATAAAATTTAATTTAGATAATTTATTTTATGCAGCGATCTCTTTGAGAATGTAAATAATATAATTATATTTATATGTTTAGAGAGAAAACATTCTATTTGTCATATATATATATATATATATATATATATATTTGATTTAACAATGTCTTCTTTTTGACGAGAAATCGTATACACAGGATTCTAGTTACATGAATTCAATAGTGATACTTGAGGAGGCATTTACTGCATGTAACAAGAACATATATATTTTCCTCTTGTTAAAATAAAATTTATTTTACTGCTATACTAGAGAAACTTCGTCTTTCGCAATAGACATTTAGAAGTTGTCTAATATTAAATTTATGCTAATACATATATAATGTTATCATTAACAGTTACGCGCACGATTTTATAAAGTATTCAGGATTCTCACAAGTTACTGATAAATTTATTAGAAAATTTGTTTATACAATTATCGATATAAATAAGAATATATAATAATAAAATCACTCATTAGTTTCGCAGCAATTGCATATTAAATATTTATATAGAGCGCATAAAGATAATAGTGAAATGAATTGTTCAAATAAGATTGATTAAATTGATTATTTTTCTGTTTGTAAGACGTATATAAAATTTATAATAGGTCATTAGAATCTTATAAAAGCCATAACTAAACTTGTATGCATTTTTCATGAACGTAAATTAGGCTACTGGCTTCAATGCAATATGCTCCGCGTGCAATCATAAATAAGAACAAAAACTTAAGATTAATGCGCAATATATTTCAATATGCAAGTAATTGCGTTGTTCGCAATTGATGTGAAAGTTGTATATTACACATTGTAAATCCAATTATGTTTACACAAATGTAATAGAGTAATAGTTTTATTTTATTTTTAAAGAATTATTTTCAATCTACTAAGACCACTCTCCCTGATAGCAATCTTGCACAATATTTCGAAAAGAAAACAAGAATATACAAGAATATAGAAGTAAAATTTATTTCTTTTTAATTCACAAGATTGGATTTTGCTTCAGATAGAAACATGTTGTATATTGAGTGTATGCAGACAAATATATTATCAATGTAGAAAATCTATTTATTTCAAATCATAATAGAATCACATTTAATTGTAAATTAATTGTAGAATTGTAGAAAAAATTGTGTAAAAATCAAAATACTTACTGTACAAAATATTTTTATAAGTAGATTATTTATATATACAAATTACTGTCATTCCATGTTTTCGCTTCTAAAAGTCTTCGGCAAAGAATCTCTTTTATAAACTTAATTACTTTTCTCATTAAATTAAATTGTTCGTGCTGGAAATTTATATATGTAAAAAAATTTATGTCAAAAATATTTTTTCTTATACATATGTGTTAATAGATTAAAAATAATATTTTTAATTTAAAGATAAAAAATATTAAATATAATATATATAAATTTTCGCAAAAAAAATTTTTGAAAAAATGTTATATAAAGAACTATTATGTTTGAATGTTTGAATATTTGATTTATTGGTTAAATCTCTGCAAACAAAAACATAGATATACTATAATTATTAAGATATATTATTATTAATCTTTATTTTTTATGAGTAGTATTTATTAATACATGAATTTGAGTTTAAATTATGCACATTTTTATTAGATATAAACATGTATGTTCGTCAAATAAATGTAATATGAAATGACTTTCATAAACATTCCAATCACTAACGCAGAATTTAATGAAGATGCCATAGTTATAGTTCACGGCTTGTTAGAAAGTAATTAGAATCTCTTTATGAAAGACTACGTTTCTCATGATAACTTCTCGAAATAAATATCTTAATTTACACTGTTTACAAATGATGAAAACTGATTGCTTGCAGCGTAAATAAATTGAAAATTTATCCATGCAGAAATCATGATTATGAAAACTTGCAGTATAATACAGATCAACGATAATTATATTAACAAATCAACTTGCAGTATAATACAGATCAACGATAATTACATTAATAGATTGATCAAAAGGCATATTTAAAAAATAATAAAACATATTTTTCGAAGGAAAAAATAATGTAAAAATGAGTTCTAAGTATTTTTTAATTATCCTTTTTAGTCTACATTTTTCTATATATTTTTATATACAAGATGTTCTAAAAAGATATGTCAAAAATTTAAGGAGATATTCCT